CTTTTTTTTTTTATTTAAGAGTTTTTATTTTATAATTTAAAATAATTTAAATTATAAAATAATTTTTTAATATATATTGGATTGTATTTTACTTTTATATTATTTGTTTAATGTTGATTGGACTTTGACTTGATTTTGATGGACAAATTTAGGGCGCCACTTTGAAGTTGTCAATGGCATGGTAGCTAAGGGGAACAAATTTCGAGTTATATTTTATGTAAATGGAATGAGTTGAGAATGCAAAAAAGGGGCTCTCATTCATTAAAGAATACAGACGAACTAAATTCATGATAGCAACTAATGGCTAAAATTTTAAAATGTAGAGACCTAGTTATTAAATAATCTAAACCTCAGGACCTAATGATCAATTTAATCTTTTGCAACATCCTTTCGTCCTCTTTTGTCTTTCTCTTAAGGCTGACTAACTGGTAATTTCCGGTGCACTTCCAATCCACGGGGGTGAAAATTGAAAATTGTCACGTGCATTTTAATACAAGACCAATCCGTAGGTCTAATTTATCATGCATGGTATGTCGGATTCTAAGGAATTGAGTTAGATTTTGATATTAAATTTTAATATCACGTAAAAATTAATATGTAATTTTTTATATAAATTTATATTTAATTTAAAATTAATTAATAATAAATAAAATAATTTTTTTTATTATTCTATTGATAGGAGATTTTTCACTTAACATATCACAAATGACTCTGCATGGAATGCATGCTGAGGATGCTGAAGACACTTGGAATCCGTACAGCATTGCCTCGCACTGTGCGATTACCTGCCTCTCGTAATTAAATTTGACCCGTTTGCGAATGCTTGTGAAATGTTCGAGGAATTGTCTGAAATGTGATGTCTGCTACAGCCATGATACGCTAAGCAGAGACGTAACGAAGACGCCACGAAGACGCCACATTATGCTGTTTTTGAATAGGATATTGGTTGGTACACACTCAGACCTCACATTTGAGTATGCACCCCACATAAAAAAAAAGTTAGACCAGATGATGAATTTTTTTTTATTTATATGGTGTGTGTACTTTCAGGTATAGAATTCGGGTATCCACACATCACTATCCTTTTAAATATTAAGCCGACGAATTCAAATTTGAGACTATGATTCATCCGTCGACTGCAATTGGAGATATAGCTAAGCAGCTTTATGCTATTGCAGTGAGGATGGGTCTGCATTCAACAGTGGCGGAGCCACATAGAGATAGGGGGGCGGTGGCCCTGGGATTTGAAAAAAAAATATATAATTAATTAATTAATTATTA